CCCTTTTGAATTTCCCGCGTTATCCTGCTACATTGGTTAACAGCTGGCCAACGCCCTTTCATTTTGAAAGCTTAGAGATGTTCGAATGGTGCTTTCCCTCTCGTCGGTCGAGAACCGAGCAATTATCCCCATGCACTTCGTAACTAGGCTGTCGAACGGAATCTCCACAGAGGAATCATTAACACACATGTATCAGGGCCCTGCAGACATGGTTCTCTTTTCACAAGGGGAAATGAGGTACAGCACGAACTAATTTGTTTCCCCTTTCTTGTTTTATGGAGGTTAAAGCCGACGCAAGAGGCAGCAACCCTTGCAGACCGGTTTTTGTGCTCATACGATTGACTGACTACGGAAGGTTGTGTCCCACTCCCGTACCGTTCTCTAGCTCTGCGCTCCCTTCTTCCGACCATTGACCAGGACTGTATCTTAAGGGAAATCTTTCTAGTCATCTGTAATTTGAAGATCTGCATATCCTTTATATTTTTCCTGATTTATTCATTTTCCTGCATTTTCGTTGTTTACCTTGTTAATAAACAATTTTTCCCTATCCACCTCTATTTGACGATTGATTTGCTTTGATTTGTGCCAACGTGTCCGCAGAAGCTAAGAGAACTCTACGTCGTTGGTAACGCAGTCATGGTATCAGACGGCAGCGTCGATTTGACTCTTAAGATTAACCGAGATATAGCGGGTTGACAACAGTTCAAACGGAAACTTACAGTGTCAGTCATTAATGCTACTCGGAACCCTATGAAAAAACTTTTGTGAAGTTATTTTCGTTTACCAACTCCTTATATTCTCGATAGCAATATCCCTCCTATCGCGTAGATTTACCTCACAAGTCGTCCATTATTTGGTAGACTCATTAAAAGGGAGATCGTTCTGAGCAAGTTTGCGGATGAATCGACGCGGTAAATACGGGGTCAATAAGTCAAAGCACTGACATAATGCCGGTATAACTCCATCCCACTATGGTAATTTAAGGCTGGCATAAATGGACCATCTACATGTCACGATGTCTGTTCGGGAACATCGCATTTGTTGGGAGCAAAAGCAGTTTGATCGACATATTTTCTTAATGAGCTTATGGAAGATATTTTGGCTTGTCTTAATCGGGTAGTGAGGGCAGTGGTGGCTACTTTGACGGCCGTTCTTACTACTGTGATGACAAACAAACTTGTTTGATAACGGTTCACGGCCGCTGTGCGACAGTTTCACCATTGTGTTTTAAGGCACTAAGCGTGCTAGGCCTCAATACCGGTAGGTTTATCGCTTCTGGTTCGTGACAACATATTCGACCGACCGCCATGATCAGTTGCTATTCCCTTTCAGGCTTCATGAAGTGTTTTTGAGGTAAAAAGTGTAAATCTTTACGGGCTTGTTACATCGTAAAATAGAAAGCGTTTTTGAGATGTCCTAGACGACCAAATTCCAATCAACGGGGCTGGTCTACCTCGGTTGTGTGTAGTACTGACGAGCGAACCTATAAGTTTTGTGCGTCTTAGAAATAAAAATGCGATTACACAGAAATTAAAAAGGCGCAAGTAAGTAGCCATCACTGGCATACCAAAACACATGTTGGCGTTCGGCGTCCGAGAACGGGAGGGCTACTGCTATCAAAACCGCAGTTTATGGGGTTGTATTACTCGGCTAACTTCAAAATTAGTTGACTTACAGACTGTGCTGTCTCGAATGAAATAAGTTGTCAAATAGGTCGGAGTATCCAAACATACACTGAAAACACCCAAATGCTTTTCACC